CTTGAGAGGTTGTGGGGATGCTTTTCTCCAAAGAGGGAACCTGCATACAAGCCAACACAACTTGTGAATCAAAAGATTGGGATCTTTAAGAGCACAGAATCCAGCAAGATGGTGGTAGAGTAAAGATACTGAGGTTACCTCTTCCATATAGTTAAAATTAAATTGCAGAACAAAGTCAATAACCCCTGGGAGATAGACTATAGCCTATATCAGGAGGAACAGTCCAATGGAAAATGTAGGAAAAATCGTAATTGAACTATGTTTGCAGTGATACCAGGACTGCACATTCATGAGATGGAGGAGAGGTGGAGATTGGGACTCCCCTGCAGTGGTTGACTCAGGGACACCTATCAACCTCAGGGACTTTGGAGACTGTGCTGGATAAGGGGGTGCACAGTGTTAAGAGAGGGTGCATGGTTGGAGAATAGAGGAGTGAAGGTACAGAGTGATGATGATGGGTTAGAGCCGCATGTTCTCAATATAGAGCAGCTGGATCCCTAGTCAGCAGCGGTTCATCCCAATCTCCTCTAGTAGAGGCAATTATTTACAGCCTGAGGTTATTGTAGTCTAAATTCCTGCCTCATTCCCACCCAAGTCCCACACTGAGACAACTGCTTTCACTAGATGATTTTTTTTAAAAATTAATTAAGCCGAAAAAACTGGGGTACAGGCCAGAGGTGTAGTTGGTGAGAGGATTCACCAGAGACAGAGTGGGGAGCAGAACAGGCAGGTTGACAGAGTACACTGCTGAAGGGAGCAGCAGGTGGGTCAGGAGAGATCTGCCGCGACATGTGGGTCAGCTCCCTGTCTGGGGATTGAAATGGTGCTGCAGTGGCTTCAGAGAGCTTCATAATGCGGTGTCTTAACCCGTTGTGCCACCAGGGAGAGCCCTCACTAGATGAATTTAAGCACCTGGTTCTTACCAACTGGAGCAGCCACAATCCATACTCAGTCCTGCATCTACTGCTCAAACACAGACTGGAGGTTGAGGCTGGTACATAATATATGAGGGCACAATTCTGGTGCCAGCTGCACAGGAGGAAATGTTAACCTTTGATGCTCACTGGAGGCAGCCCATTGTTACTTACTACCTGGGTTCTTTCTTACCCATTGCTGGTGCCATTCCTGGCACCAGTTCTCGTCCTATCTGAACAGGTGCAAAAGCGGCTGTCTGAAAGTTTATCCCTATTACAATCCATAAAAATGGAAAATGAAGAGCCCAAAGAACATATCAAAAATGCTGGAGCAAAACAAATAAAAATCAACCAACCACACAAAAATGAAAAATATCTCAATCAGCATAACCATGAAGTAGGCCTGAAGAGGACTATAAAATAACATTTATAATTATGTTTGATGAATTTTTAAAAATGGATGATTTAAGATGGGAACAGAATAAAGACTGATAAAAATATGAGCTTATTACAACTAGAATTAATGAATCTAAAAAATAAGTCAACTGGGGCCCTCTCTGGTGGCACAGTGGGTTAAAGCACAGCATTATGAAGCTATCCACACCCACTGCAGCAGGAGTTCCATCCCCAGCCAGGGAGGTGACCACATGGTGCGGCAGACCTCTCCTGACCACCCTGCTGCTCTCTTGAGCAGTGTATTTCAGAAGACCCGCCTGTTCTGCTCCCCACTCTGTCTTTGGTGAACTGTCTTACCCTGCTGCACCTCTGTCCCGTACCAGAGTTCTTGTCTGCATAAATAAATAAATCTTAAAAAATAAGTCAACTGAATTAAAAAATACAGTGGAGGGCCTCAGCAACAGACACAAGGATGGAGAGTTAGTACGCATGTTGGAGAACACACAAATAGAACAGAGGGAATAGGGTAAGAATATGAAAATAATGTAAGTAATGTGTTTAGAGAATCATAAAGAGAGATAACATCCATATTAAGGGGAGGGCCTCAGAAGGAGATGAGAAAGAGAAAGACAATAACAATTTCAACCTGGTAAATAAATCAGACTTTTTTGCTCAAGAGGTCCAAAGCATTCTAAACAGACAGACACACTTTAAGGGACATTCAACATATATTGTAAAAAAACAAAACCAAAAACTGTTTAAAGTCAATGACAAGGATAGAATATTGAGAACAATAAGAAAAAGAGGCCTCCCTGGTGTCTCAAGGGGTTATATCTTAGCACTACAAAGCTATCTGCAGCCACTGCAACATGAGTGTTCGATACCCAGCCAGGGAGCTGACCCACATAGCGCAGCAGACTTCTTTTGTCTCGCCTACTGCTGCCCTCAGCAGTGTATTTCAGTACAGCCACCTGTTCCCCCCCCCCCACTCTGTCTCTGGTGAATCCTCTCGCCTCCCTGTACCTCTGGCCTACACCCCAGCTCTTGTATGCATAAATAAATAAATAAATACAAAAAAGTTTGAGAAAAAATTAACCTTTACGGGAACACCAGTTAGATTGCAGATTTTTCATGGGAACTGAAATAAATGCTGTTTCTAGGGACTTGAGAACGGAGGGAGGCCACAGTTTGCGCCAGGCACAGAGTAATGATGTTTAGTTATTGTAATTAGTTACTGTAATTAATACTATTCTAAAATATTGTTTTAAAAGTAACAAAAAAAAAAAAAAGGCAGTGCTTAACCATACACAAAGGAACTCAGTCACATGTTGACAGAGTTCTGAACTATTGCCACAATACCCTGGAGGAAACGATCAAGTTTATTTGATGTATTGGATATTTTATACTAGGTAGTGACAGTTTTGTTTTGGGGAAAAGGTTCTTCTCAAGGCCTCTCCGACTGAACATTTTTTCCATTTATAGTATCTCCCTTACAGCCAGCGTGCTGCAGAATTGCCTCTTTCCACATGATGGCCTTTGTGGTAGAAGACTGATTTCCCTGGGGCCTGAAAATGACAGGCTTTCACAATGTCACTGGCTGACAACCAAACCCAGCACAGTCTTGGTATAATTTGGGGGCTAAAGGCATTTTATCTTGTGCAACAGTTGAGAGACTGCTATAACCAGCTGCACTCCCAGAAGATTGGAAGAAAATACTTTTTTAAAAAATAGTTTATTTTTACATCATTTTGTGCATTTTTCCATCTCAGTTGTAATCCCTGTGGGCTTCCCATCACCAAATCACCCCTGTGCCATCACCACAGTCCAGTGCATTTCCCTCCCCCCCACTGTTTTTTATCCCATTCCCCACTCCACCCCCGTAAAATGTCTCTGGTATTGTTCATTATTATTATTATTATCATTATTATTTTCTTCCCTGATCTGTTATACTCCTCCTATGAGTGAAACCATCCGGTATTTTTCCTTTTGGAAGAAAATACTTTTTATAACTACCCTGAAGCACAAGAGTAATGTGACATTCTCATAGTTCTTTAGGAGGGTGAAGGATCAGGATGTTAGCAAGCAACAGTGGTTGGTTGTCAGATAGATCTGGAGTCAAATTGTGGATCTGTGAATTGGACAAGTTACTTAACTTCTTCAAACTCCAAAGAGCTTGCAGTTTGTAAAATGGGAAATAATCATAGCTATCTCTAAGGGAAGTATGATTATGTATTCATTCATTTGTTCAATATTTATTGTAGCCTACTAGATCCTATGCTGGTGGCTAGGAACACAATATTGAGCAGGTTAAGTACCTACTCTAATGAAGTTCATACCCTAATAAAGAAGCAGCTTGAACACAAACCTAAAATAAGTAAGAAAATCAGGTAATAAAAATAAAACAGTAATGTAGTTGAGAGTTGGTGCAGTTTATCTTTATTTTCTTCTTGATCCAACCTACTGGTGTACTACACAGAACCTCATATTCGTAGGACTCTTACCTATGCCAGTGGGCACTTGGAACTCCTAACTCCAGTCGTGATAACCCAGTGTGACTTTTCTAGAAATGTCTCATTAGATAGAGGCTAATGCCTAAATCAGACTTTCTCTTTGCTCTGCTTGGTTTTGTTTTGTTTTGAGTGGCCAGCTGAGGTGGTATTTGGGGGCAGACACATAATTACCTGCTCTGAGAATGTCTTGTAGAAGTTGTTACCAGGGTTCTGAGCCCTGGCTGGGGTCATGACTTAATGCAATTTGTGACTTGAAAGAACAAATTCTGATTCTGCCCTCAAAAACAACATGGGTTTGCCAGGAAGTCCAAGTAATGAATGTTGCCATTTCAGCCTGAAGTCTTCTAGGAATACCTCAGTAGGTGACAGCCTGTGGCCTTGAGGGTTGCTTTAGCCCAGAACTGGTCACCTGATGTACGGATTAGGCATATGCTTCTGGTGCTGGCTAAGCACAAAGTTATTTTTCAAAACCTAGAAAATCTTAAAAAATGTTATTCTAATATCATGTTTTGTAACATAGAATTTTAATTACATACGAATTATATTTGGAATTCAGACCCCTAAAAGTCTTCATCTAACCCTGTCTACCTCACTCCCTCACTCTAGAAGCTTTCTCTCCCCTCACTTCTGAAAATTAATTCACAATATCTTCCACAAATCTGGGGTCCAGTCTGGAGAGTGGAGGACCTGTGCTATTTTTTGACCTGATTATGGTCTCCTTTGACTATTCTCCCTTCTGAATTACTCAAGACTGAATCACACCTCATATTTGATTGCACTCAACAAGCAGGACTGTGGTGGAAGGAATCAGTGCTGCCGACTTATTGGGACAAATCTATAGATAGAAGTTCTCTGAGAACACTGGGCAATTCATTTCCATGAGAAAGTTTCCTGCTTGTGGTCTTGACCCTTGTTCCAACTTCTGTTGTTGTTATAGGGAATAAAAACAAGGGCCAGGATCTGGGATGGCAAGTGTGACTGAAGCTCCACTTGGCTTTCCAGACTAAACTGAGTTGCAGCAGATCCCCTGGGTTGGTGACTGGGGCAACTGCCAGGGGCCAGGGCCTGCCTATTGGTCAGTCTCTGGCCCTCATCAGATTGGCCAATGGGAAGGGAGGACTGTGAGACGGGAGCTGCCTACCCATTAGTACCAGGCTCCTCAGGCTGGGTCATCTCCTCTCCTCCATCCTGTGTGCATTCGGTGGGTTGATCCCCTCCTGAGGGTAAGAACAATTTGATTTAGGTTCTAGGCTGGGAGTGGGGATGGATGCTTTGCTATGGAGCCTCTGGCTGAGGTACTGCCAGGCTCTCCTGTCCTAGCAGCTGGGCATAGCTACAGGCCAGGCAATGTAGACCCCTGGCCAGACTGACCAAGAGCTTCTTCCTTGACTCTCCCATTTCTCCAAAAGCCATTGTTCTTTCTAGTCAAAATGTCAGGAATCATTCTGAGTTTTACCCAGTTCATTTTGTAGCAAGATGTCAAGCAAGGAGGTTGCTTTCAGGGAGGTGAGAGGGATGAAACAGTGATAGAATCCAGTTAGACAAGAGAAGGGGAGAAACGTTTCTCAGCTTGGCCAGGGAGGGCACATGAAGAAGCACATGACAAGGACTGAGGTCCTTCCTACCTCAGACTGGGAATCCATCACTTGATTCTGTTCAGCAAATGTTTATTAAGAAGATTCTATGTGTTAGACGCTGGGCCTAGGCAGGTTCACAAGATACAGATAAGTGAGACATGGACATTATCTCCAGATCTGGGGATACCTGTAGATACAGGATGAGCTACACAGATGTGGAGCTATCTTACAGAGTGAGTAAGAGGTTGAAATGAACTAAAGTGAGCAAAGGGCCTGCAGTATACTCACAACTTATGAGAAATCCTACTTTTAGAGATATTTCCTTACTGAAAACATTGGCTCTGTTGGCCTTTGCCAAGC